CAGGAATTCGATCCAAGACAAACGAGAGACATGGTGAACAGGAGTCTGTGACCCGTGGATTATTCCTCGGAGTCCTGGGGAATTTTCCCATGGAATTCCCAGTAGGGCTCCGTGCAGCAGATTAGCCCTGCTGACAATAGCAAGCGTCACTTTTGATGATACTGAAGAAACCCTGGCTACCCGGCAGCAAAGGGGTGAGTGCTCTTCCTCATACCCCCATGCACCAGGACCTACTAGCAGTGGGCTCTGCCCTCTCATAAGTGTCCTCTGCCCCCTCTCAGGCTTGGGCGCCCCTTCAGAGATCTTGCAGAGCAGAAGAGGCTGGTGGACGAGCGGAAGTAGCAGGGGTGGGGATGCCTGTGGCTGCAGAACTGACTTGCCGAATGATCTTGGGAAAGTTGCTTTCATGCTGTGTGCCTCAGTTTCTCTGGTCGTCAGCAATGTTTCCCTGTCATAAGGTTTGGAGCCCCCCAAAAACGTGAGAAGGTGAGAGCCAAGGGCAAGGCCCAGGAGTGGGGTAAGATACTCCTAATTCTTCATGTCGGGAAGCCATGGCTGGAGCGTCAAATGACTTGCCAAGGGACCTGTAGCTGCCTGAGTAGGCAGCTAGCTGGGGCTAGGAGTCACAACAGCAGGGTGCCAGTCTTAGCTGAGGGGGCTGTGGTGAGGGGAGCTTCAGGTGAAAAGGTAAGGGTTTAGCCCCACTAGAGGAGGCAAAAAGTGGACAGGGAAGAAGTTGCTGAGGTGCCGGGGAGAAAGTTTGGTGCCTTTGCCAGCATACAGTGGAATACTAATGAAGAGGCGAGTGAGTTACAGGCCTCATATATCATATTATGTAATGGCTTACTTCTCTGCACTTCATTTATTTGGAGATTGCTCCCAGCCTGGCTCCTCGCCAGCAGCCACCAAATCCAAGTCTACAGAAATCAATCTCGCGCTGACTGATTAAGCCGTGTTTAGAACTAATTGCTCCTTCGTGTGTGGGGAGAATAAATTACGGGCTTTAATTTCACATCTTTAAAATGCAACTGCAGGTACAGGCTGGCCATTAACCCCTTCCTGGGCTGCCCTCAGCACAGAACAGGGTGAGGACTCAGTCCCATCCCTGCCAGGTTGGGTTGGGAGGGGGGCAGAGGGGTGGCTTTGCTGTCCCATTCCCAACAGGGGGGCTTTGGAGTCCAGGCAGTTCTGGGCTGTGGCAGCACAAGGTTATTTGCCCATGGAGGCAGCACCTGGCACTGCAAGGGGGCTGATGAGGAGCCAGCACTAGCCCTTTGCCCCCTCTGATCTGCTGGCTGTATACAGAAAGGCTTGTCATCATCCCCAGGCAGGGCTGGCTGCCAGCTGCAGCAGGGAGGCAACCAAGGCACAAGCAGCCCCTTGGATGCACTCCCCAGCCCAGTGCATAAAACCCAGAGGAACAGTGGTTGTGTCCCTGTCTCCACATTGTACCAGCTGCTCCCTGGCTCTTGGTCTGAGTCCAGGGCTCTCCACTTCTCCCACTCTGCCCTACACTCTTGGGACCCCCCTTTTCTGTAGCCTTGCCCCTCCTTCCTCTCTAGACCTGCCCTCCCTCACCTTCCTCTGTACACACATCACCCCCTGCAGCTGGCCTCCCCACTCCAGCCCTAGTTTTGATCCCCCACACAAAGCCATGGGGGACACTTGATAGTCCATCCCAGTACATGCATGTGTAACCAAGGGCAGGCAGAGCCCAGGGTGCAGAAGGGAGCCAGCTGGTCTGGAAGTCAGTGATATAGGGCCTGAGGGTAGGTCCTGTAGTTGGCCTTTTGTAGTTGTGACAGCAGGGACTGGCTGTTTCATGCTGAAACCTGGTAGAGGAAAGGCTGTGGAGACTTCAACATGCACTCACTGGTGGACATCCTGAGCTTGACTGAGGACAGCGGGAGGCAGGTTCCCCATGCCACAGCTGGGACTCAGAGTTGCCTTGGGGTGATGACCCCATTAGGGAGAGGGGGTACGCAAACTCCTTCTGCCAAGAGCTGGGTGTGAAGCTGCTTGCAGATGGGTGGAGCACCAGAAAGGGGAGGGGCAGGGTGGGAGCAGGCACTAGATGGCACTAAGGGGAGGCAAGAGTGCTCCTTACTGCTCCCAGAAAGACAACTGCTGGGCAGTATGTCACTTCATGCCCATCCTCCCTAGCCCTGTCCCCCCACTCCCAGCCCCTAGTTGGTGAACATAGGCATTCCCCCTTCCAGTGACCTCGGTTGCTAAGCACTTCTGATGCCTGTCATGCACTCTGGTCCAAGGCATACTCAGAGCCACGGGCACTGCCAGCCACCAAGGACCTGGGCTTCAGTCCAGTTCTAAATGTGACAGACACCACCTCCCCCAGCACCCGGGTTATGCAGTAACCGCCCCTTCCCAGCAGGGCTCACAGGCACCTGTATCCATGCCAGGATGGATGAATACCCTGCCACAGTGCCTGAGACGTGCCCAGGGGCAGCTGCAGCCTCCTGCCTGGCCCCTGCTCCTGTCACATCTATTCGGCTCTGCAGGTGATTTTTGTGCTGCTGTTGAAAGCTCAGGCTTCTTGCTGCCAATGCCTCCTGGGGCACTTTAGTCGTCCAGAAAGGCAGCCAAACAGCAAGCTCTCCAACCACAGAGAAGGCCTGGCGAGCCATGCGCAAATCACAGGGTATAGGACTGGCCACTCTTCACACTACAGCCACAATGGATATCCAGTGCAGAGTGAGATGCCGTGGTATCTGAGGAAGAAGGGGAAGCAGAGCACCATTCAGATCTGAAGCCTTGTCCCTAGGAGGGACCGTGTGCAAGCAGCTCTGCTGCCATCGCCAGC